TTCTCAGCTCTTCCTCAGACCTCCTTGAATAACTGACTTAAATTCTCTTAAGCCACTCCAGTTTCTCTGTATTTAAGGTTTAATTATACATATATCAGAAAAATTGTTTTTCATATATTTCCTTAAAGCTCTTGGCTCCTTCAGAAACTTTGATCAGGTAACCGGCTGTTATACAGAGAACACTGCTTCTCATGTTGACCACCACCTTCTTGCGGTTTCCCATCTGTTGTTTGTAAGCACCTCATGTCTTGTGCCACTGATGCTGTTAGCTCCTTTGAAAACAAGCTCTATTTTCTTCTGTTTGCACAGTGCATCAAAAAAAAAAAAAACAGGAAAACAATCCATGACTGGGAATCCTATATAATAGCAGAATATATTTTTTTTTTGCTAGGAAGCTCAGTTAGTGAAACTTACCACAGAGGAACAACTCTGCTACAAAGTATAAGACAACTTAGTTCATAAATACACAGAGTAGTCATTCAAGTAATCTTGCTTATTTGAGGGAACAGAACGAACGAGAAAGAGACCAAATGAGAAAGCGGAGCTGCATATGTAAGAGAGGGGACAGGACACGTTAGAAGAACTAGGCAGAAAATGCCCAGACTAAAAATCTCCGTAAATAAGCTCATCCCTTTCCAGAACTCGTTGAAGTTGCTTCTGTTTCCTCTGGAGCTGGTCTGCCCCTAGAATTACTTTCTTTCTCTAACCAAAGAAAGGCTTATGGAGAGAGATTAATATATGGACATAAAAACTGTCACAGAGTAAGGATCACTTCTTTCAAAATTTTCAGTCTGAGCGAAGGAAGGGTTGTTTTGCGCTGTCATGACTCCAAACGCAGTTCAGTAAGTATTCTTCTGTTTTACAAAACAGTCAATGGACTTGCTTCAATTCAGGGAATTTACTGTCCTCAACCATACAGTCTTTCAGTTGTTACATCCTGTTGTGCTTTCTATACATATAAGGTGGAATGGAAATCTGGTTGGTACTTTCTCATCCATGTGAAAATTCCTGGATTCCTACATAATTCCACTTACAGTACTTCTCTGCAAGTGTCCTTTAGAAGTATTAAGCTAAATTTTGAGCCTTACTCAGGCCTTATACAAACTCCTATTGCCTTTAGGAGAATTTTAGTAGACAAACATGACAGAGAATATCCTTATGTGACAGAGCATCATGATAGGCTAGAGATAACTGGCCAGAGAACTGCTGGTCTGTAAGCAAAATAATTTTTTTTTTTCATTAGCCTTTATAATTTCTTTTCTTTTCACTACATTAAAGATTCTCAGTATTTAATTAAGGCTTAAAACAGCTACTTGTGATATAATACTGACTAACCTATTATTGTCAGAAGGAATGCAATTACTTACATATACTTTCTATCTTGTGGGCAGGAAGCCGTGGAGAGATAGAATCAAGATATGTGTTTTAGATACACTGGCATGTAGAGAAAATATCTCCCACAACTTGAAGTATGCGCAATTTCTAATTTGTTTCTTTTTCTCCTATTGACAGAAGCCCAAGGTGATGCATTCTTCCCTTAACATTTCTAGAAATGCACAGGACCTATATCTAGACATATCCTGAAGACAGTTCATGAGGTTTTTGTAGTCCATGTCACAAATAAAAAGGCTATGGATGATTCTGGTCTCTCCCTTCCTTGATGAATCATGAAAGCAACAGAACGTGTTTTTTGGCTAAAGAACAGCAGCTGTAAGTAAAAAAGAGGACAAAAATCAAGAAAAAAATTAAGTAAAGCTGGTGACAAGAAATATTACTGGTTGTAAGCGATCTGTTGCAAGCTGGAATTTTCCTGCATCTTAATGGAACTTTTGACCTAATTTAGAGTCCATTTCTTTTTAATTAACTTTTCTAGTTCAAACGTGTTTTCTATTAAAGATCATGTCCTTCAACTAAGAAACCTTTTAGCATGTACAATAGTAATACAGCAACATAAAATTTAGCTTTCCTGATTAGAAACAAATAAATACAGAAATCACAAACAGTAAACGTGGAGTATCTCACACCCCTTTGCCCTGTACTCACTTCTCAGCAACACTTAGCCGATGATATAAAGAATTCCTTGTTGTGTTTGTCTGTTTGACGTGACCAGTGCAAACAATCACGTAGGCTTAGGAAGATGGACAATTATGTAGAGCAAGAGACTCATCCACTACATGGAGAACACAAAAACAGCTAGGAAAAAATAGTTTCAAACAGAAAGAAAATGACGTTCAGAAATGATGCAGGGCGTTGTTAACTGTGAGAGAAATAGGTAAAATGTTGCATGTAAGATGAGCGTTACGTGCAGATAAAAATCTTGATTTCAATATCAGAAATGCTATGCACATTCAAATTGAGTTACGCAGCTTGTTACTTCTCAAGATGGTTGGACCTCTTCATCAGTCAGGTCAGGAGGTATATAAGGCCTTCCATGCCTTACATAAGGCATGCCTGAAATGGGAATGACACATCAGGAATACTTAAAATTTAAAGCACTTTTCGCATTTGCATTGCAGCTGAATGAACCATCCTTTAAAAAAAGAAATGTTACAGGGAATGATTTTTCGTAAATTAATGAACCTGCTCAGAAGTTTTGAAAGGATGCATAGCAAACTATGATGGTCATAAGACTTGCAACAATCTGTGGGGAAAAAAACTACTACTTTTATTCTAGAAATTCCTGTGACAAAGTACAAGGATCCATTCCATTCACAGATTTCTTTGTGCAAATCATTTGAAATGCTCTGTAAAAAACTGGGTGGATTTCCATAATGGGATTTTAGCAGAATATATCAAAGCAAGTTGCTGTGACATTTCCTACAAATATTTCTATTTTAGCTTTATTTTGTATTATAAATATGGCAAGATGAAGCCATTTTTGTCAAAACAATTATTTTGCCTTTTGGAAAAAAATTTCCAGGGATATTTTCAATGCCCTTATTTTCAGTATTTATCACAATCAAGATGAAGAGTAATTTCAGAGGTTTCAACTTACATCTGCATAATCATGAGCCCAAGTGAACATACCTTGAGTCTTACAAATGAATAATGTCATTAGATAGGGTGTTGTTAGTTTAATTAACTTTGTTTACTTCTCTGTATAGCAAATGACTCACAAATAAATTACATTTAACATTGGCAAAAATGTTTCTACTGGTTTCTCAGACTGAAGTCAACGGTGTGGGTGTGGGCCATTGCCAGAAAATGTTAACTGTTCTGTTTTTATATTCCAGTAGCACAATGCCAAGTGAAATCTAAATGGATACAAGAAGTTGCATCTGGTATTTTGTAAATAAGAGACAGGTGGAGCCTCAAAGGTACAGACATTAAAACAGGGTAGATGAATCTTGCAGACTTCATTGATAAAATCTTATGTAAGGAACTCATTTAGTGCTGGTTCCAGTGGACCACTGTGTTAGCTGATAGTGCAAGTAAGACAACATGAAGAACAGGATACGTTTGTCTTTCTGTGTCAGTGTAACTACAATAGGATGAAGTTGACCCAATGTTTTTATGGGTGACGTAGTATTTGCTAAAGCGTGAGTTGAATCCTCACAGGGCATTCAAGGGTCATGAAGGGAATGAGTATTTTCTGTTTTTGTATTTTATGACATCATACTGTAAGAACTGTAGGTTGAAGAGGCTGCCCAAGGTTAGAGTTCACTTGTTTGGGGCAATAAAGTTGCTAAATAACTATGAAAACTATTTCTTTTATTAAAATTCACAGATAGAGCTTCCTGAAATTAACTCGCATGTGTCTTATATGTATGGGTTAATTCTGGATCTTAAACAAAGGCAGTTTTTGGATTATCTAATGATTTTATCTCTCAAGACTGACTGAAAACTAACGTGGTTTATCCCACAGGCTCCCAAAATATGATCCAAGAACAAAAGCATGGCTTGTGTTCTCTCAAGAAATTAGAAATCATGTGATTAATGGCAGCTTATTTCTGGTGCTCTGACGTTGCTAAGGAAGAAGGGATGTCCAGAAGCAGGGAACAAGATAACCAGAGAGCATACTGAAAAAGAAGGGAGAGACGGACAGCAGGTAGAGTATCCTGACAAAGCAGCCAGAAAAGAGCTGACTGAAGATCGATGAGCTGAGGAACAGCAGGAGTCAGTGTGATCTGCTTTTTTTCAGCAGATGTCAACAGGCATTGTGCTTTAACAGTTAAAACACAAACTTTTCTTTTTGTTCTTTCCTTACTTACCCAAATCTGGAATTATTCCAGAGATACTAAGCAATTAGGAATGGAAGAGGAGGAGGAGATATACAACAGCATATAAGCTGTCATGTAGCCCTATGAAAAAATGATTCTTACTATGAAATGTTAGAGAAACTCCTGATTTTTTTCATGTTCAAACTCTAGCTACTCCCTCACAAATGTCGGTGCGCACGCACACACACACTCTGACATTAATGGGAGTTTTTCAGTTGACTTGCAAGGAGCAAGTTACATTTATTTTATGCTTTTATTTTATTGCTTCTGTGTTTTTATCCTGTTAGCAGGTTACTAGTACATATGGTTTGGGAGAGCCTTGAGTAATAGAAAGTAAAAGGGAAAGTGCTCTTGGGGAAGAGATTATTTGTATAAAGCCGAAGGGAAGACAAGTGCTTTATATGAACACTCTATTAAAGGATACTTGGCTTAAGAACAACATACTTTGGCACTCATGCATTTAGATAGTACACTATTTTGTACTGTGCATAAAAAGGCAAAGCACATCAGGTACTTCTTGTTACATATCTTTGCTAACCTAAACATATCAGTGTGTATTGCAAATACACAGACAAATACTGATATTGTGAACTTATATGTCCAAGGAAGACTTCTACTATTGCTCAAAAACCTTGTGCGTTCAATCAAGTTCTGCACATGGAGGAACCATATAAAACTGCAAGTCAGTATGTACCACAGCTTGTTCAAAGACTTGCCACCGATCAACAGGTGTAAATGTATGTAGCAATAAAAAGGTGTGAGTACTGAGAATTTCTGTAATCTGGTACACTAGCTATAAACACATATGGAAAGCACAGTCACAGAAACATATCCATCATAAGAGCAAATAACAAAAAAAGATGTTCAAGACAATGTGGAAAGGAAGAAAAATGAAAGCTTACCATTCACCATCTGATTTTCCCAAAAGTGGATGGCCAAAACAGGCTAGATATAAATATTTATCACATGGAGGGTGCCCAAGTTGTATATTACTGATATACTGATATTTTCTTAACCTACGTAATCAGTGAAGAGCTGTCAGAGTAGTTCAATTCTGTGATTTATTCACCTCTATAACGTTTTTTTTTAAAATCTTACATAATTTAAGCAAAAGACATGCAAACAATCATAACAGATTAGCATAAATTGTGCCTTTTAAAAACAAATGTGGATGTGGTGCCTTGACCCATTTAGAGTATTAATGTGTGCTGCTTTAAACTATTGAATATATATTTTCATTATTTATTAAGTAGCCAAAAATATCTTGAGTGACTTTTAGGGAGCGTCTCTATACGTTCACACATCCCTTTCCCCAAAGTGGGTCAAGGCTTAAATAGCCTGTGGTTCCGTCGCTCGTTAAAAACAATCCCAACCATACAGAAGGGCCTAACAAAACAGGGGTCGAAATTCTGTATATCCTGTGTGAGTGTCGCCCTTGACCTTGATATGCCTAAACCTGGAGAAGTCGTCCCAGGATGCAGTCTAGTAGTAATGACAAAGTATCTTGAACTCTTTCTGTCCTCAAGTGCTGCAAGAACATAAAGATGATGTGTATTTGCTCCTCCATCTGCCTCAATATGAAACTCCCTCTTTCCTATTACAGGAACAGCAGGGAGGCTCTGTGAGGTTAGGAGTGAGGCTGCCAGGTTACTGCCCACAACACGAGAGCTACGCAGGCACAAAGGAATACACAGGCTGGAACTCGGCCCTAATGAAGCACCTAATGCTAATAACAACACTGAAAAGGGAAGGAGTGAACAAAGGTTATTATCATAAGATCATATATTTGTTCAGTTAAGACTTTAATTGTTGTACCTTTTATTAGTTACAGGGGGTTATAAAGATGTAAATTACAAGGCAGTAAGATATTGAGCAAATAGGCTTTAAAGTATATGTTATGCTTCTCACCTCTCCCACCCAGAGCTTTTTTGTAACATTATTTCCAAGCAGAGTATTTCAGAAAGAATATTTATTTTGTAAGTAAATATTTAGGTATTCCAATATGCTGTAATATACTGAGGAACCTTTTTTTTTCCATTTATAACAGTCCCTCTTTTTCTTTAAAAGGTGACAGCAAGTATCATTTGAAAAATTGCCTAATCTCTGTTTAACTCCAGATTCTCTTGTAAAATTGTAAAATTATAAATAATAATAAAACTCAAAAAGTGACCAGAGTGTAAATAAAAGAACATTTGGCATCTTAAAAATGAGATTTAGAAGCTTAGATATATGTAGTAGAGCATAGCTAAACTGCCCTTCAAGAAAGTTCATAGTAGTTTGCTTGGGGTATATTATGTGACACAGCCATTAAATAATGTTTCATCTATAAAAAAGAAAGGGAAGCAATTTAATGAGTCAATATAAATTGCTGAAGTAAATGATCATAATGATGTACACTTAGAAAATCATCTCACAATAGGACAGAAGAAATGAATAGGCTAGATATCTGGACCCAAAATGTAAGATAAAGTAAAACTGGAAGCCTTTATTCTTACTTGTTACCATAAATGGATCGCTTAAACAGAGGATTACAGCACAGGAGTGCTAGCTTCCGTTTCTGGCTGTAATGCAGAATTCCCGCATGTTGACTCGTATGCGCCTTCTGAACCTGCTGTGTCTCTACATTTCCTCCTAGAACCACTTTAGTTTCTATAAGATGGGATTCAGAAAACTGGTCTTTTCCCACACTAAAGCAAAGCAGACTACACAGCAGTAGATTACAGTTTCATATAACGAATGGATTCAAAGTTCTTTCTTTATTTTTCATGCCAACAGCAAGATGACTGTTCCCCTCACCTTCAGTCTACTCCATGAACCTGAAGGCTCTAACAAATAGGCTACAAAATCAGTTTCCTGCTTTTTTTTGTTTGTTTGTGTTTGGTCTCTGCACATGTCAAAATTACGCATTTCTGTATGCATATGCACAGGTTCAGCTACAGCAAGAAGGGCATTTCACATCTGGAATTCAACAGTTACAAGAGCACTTGCCGCTTTGTCTATGCCCATTTCTTGAAGTGGGAACTTTGGGTTTGAAATCTCTCAGACTGAAACTGGCCTCCAACCCAGCTCTCCCGCTGTTAAACAACAGCTTGGCTTGACTCCACCCCCTTACTGTGGTTACCAACAAAAAACCCATGATTGCTGTGTCCTATCTGCCGTGTGCTGGAACATACCTATCAGCTCAAGTTGCTCAAGTAATCGGAAGGTATGTATGTTTGTGATTTGCATGTAGCCTTAGGCTGCAAGTAACCACAGGTGCAAGCAAAATGATGATGCTTGATGCAGAGTAGGAGAATTTTAGGTGTCTTACATTCTCCAGGGAAAGATGTGTGTACTCATAGCTTCTTAGGCACCTGGGTAAGTTAGGCTGCAACGGTATAGATCTCTTTTGGACTTTGGTCTTAGAATTCCAATCATGGAAGCATGTAAAGCACTCAAATTCTTTATCACTTCTTTTCATGACATATTCTTCATGGTGATACAGGGGCAAACACCCTTGCTCAGACAAAAACCTGCATTAATATTATTTTTTTTACTGCAAATTTAAACAGAAGAAAAAAAAAAGCTTCAGCCATAAAAGCCCTATAGACTATTCTTTATTTATAAAAATCAACTCAGAAGGATTTAATTATGAGAGACTAAGTCAGAAAAGTATTATATCTTTAGAAAAGTTCATGTTAGCTTCAATATTTGGTTCTTTACGCATAACGCATCATAAGCTGTTTCATGAGTTACAATAAAAGGTTTATCTTTCTGTGGATTTCTGTCCTATATCTTCTATATGTCCCTATGTTCCCCAAAATCCTACAGCATTCCCAGGTTTCATTGTGTCCAGGTTTTTTGACCCATTGGCTGCAAGAAACGGCATGTGCTACTTAAAGCAGTGTTTATGCCAGTTGTTCTGCTAATACACATATGCTAACAGGCCAGCTGACTGTTGGCAAACAGCATAGGTAAATGTCAAGTTCTTCTTGCCCGTCCTCTGCTATGAAGACAGCACAAAACTATTTTTCTGTAAGCAGCACACTGTATGCATAGTGCACTGATTCAATTTTGTTTAGATAATTTAAAATATTGCAGAAAGTAAACAGCAATAAGGGAGTCAGTCACATAGATAAAAAGAAAGAAGAAAGTTCACTGCACTTAATTTCTCATGAGAAGTTTAAAATTCATGTTTTTAATTAAGCTTTCCAAACTTAAAGCCAAATGGTATTGCACAAGAACTCATGAGCGGTCTTCAGAGCCAATTTCTCTCTCTCTTTTTTCTCCTGTCTTTAAAATGTATTTATTTATCACTAATGAGAAACGAAGGGCCAAATCATCAGATGGTAGAAAGCTGTGTTACACCGTTCAACTAAAAAGAGATGGATCAATTTGTACCAGATTTATATCTGGCACTCGTTAGTTCTGGACTGCTTATATGCCTCCAGAGTTAAAAAGCAAAGGAATCCTTCTACGTGATTTTCTCAGAAGTGTCTTTTTAGGGATCAGTTTGACTTCCTTCTCCACCATTCGCCTTTTGGAGTTTTAAGCAGAATCAGGGCTATCAGGAAAGCAAGTGGATTACAGAACAGCAGGGGACTTGTGCTGCAACTTTTTGGGCAGTTGTGCACAGCTGTGGGATGAGCAAGGACAAGCATTACTGCAGGATTAGCCGTGGTTCAAAAACCTAGAATAGAAAATGTGGTGAAAATGTTCATTGTTGGAAAAATGAGCAAAGAACATGCTCCTGTGGAACAGAAAGGCTGTATAAGGCATTCGGAATAAATGCGTCTGTTGAGCAACTAGTGACACTACATGAAAAGAGCTTTAGCAGGGGAACAAAAGCGATACTGTTTTAGCTTAACTGCTGATTAAAGTCTGTAAGTAGTGTATCTACAAAATTATGCACATTTTAAACAAAAATCTGCAAGATGTCACAAGCCAGAAAAACAAGTCTTACAGTACAATGCAAAGCTTTTCTCTAAAGCACTGATGTTTAATCTGTCTACTGCTATTGTCCCTCTTTCACAGTGGCTGCAGTGTGATCTGAGTTGTAGGCTTATCGCATTGTGCCAAACAATTACCGTAACACAGTTATTTAACACTTTACTGTGCTCAGCTGAGCCATGGTTAGTACCTGTGTGTGTACGCTAGGTCTGGGGTGAATAGAAGGTTATTTAACTGATACTATTTTCCAATGACAGACAGCCTGATCCCTGAACAACTCTCCGTAATAAACATCCCCACCAAATGTGAAGAAAAAAAAAAGGAAGAGCAGACATAGAAAGAAAAAGGAATGCCATAGGGAGAATAATCAGTGATTGTGAAATAGAGAATAGATTTTAGAGAAAGTCACTTCATGGAAAGGATGCAGTGTGGCAAAAAACAGTAAAAATATATAAATAGAGTATAAATAGAGTAGTTATAAATAGAGTACACATATATATATACATAACAGATAAGTACAGAACAGATCTGGAGAAATCCTAGCAAGAACTTCAGCACTAAATATTAAATGATGAGTAAAAAATCTGTAAATTCCATCCATCACTGATGATGTGAAAGGGCATTTGATTCAGCAAATTATATAGGAGCCTAGCCCTCCTAGCATGAAAACAAAGAACAGGTTACATCATAACCTTGAAAATATCCACTTTTCCATCTGTTTAAACAGAAGGGTGATGATGTACACGTTTTGTATATCAATCTACTTCTGAACAGTTAGTTTAACAATTTAAGTTAGTTAAAATATCAGTGGTTTTCTACCCAAATGAACATTTTTCGAATATACTGAAAAAATTGATTTAAAAATAATTAAAGATAAAACTGCAAATTCAGCTCCCTACATAGGAAGGACTTTGGAGCTCCATTGCCATTCTTGAACCCCTTCTTATAGTTGTAGTCCAGACTGCTATCCCAAACTATACATTGTTCCTTGCTAACGTTCACCCAAGACTATCCATAACACTGATCCTCCAAGTTTCTTCTATCCTTATCAGTGTCATATTGCTCTGTTGTTCCATTCATGATTAGTAACTTTTTTTTTCCTATTAAGTTCCTTTTAAGAAGTGACTTTCTTTACTGGTTTTCCCCTAAAAATATTAAGTTATGACATCTGACAACAGAACCCTCTCTAGAACAGGTAACTACCAAGTATCAGTACCAGCTAAATTTTTTATTTTGCCGCCTTATTCACAAAATAACAATTACCCAAATTCTAAGTTATCTCACAGCCAAGTCTTTGAACCTCAGCGAAACGGTAGTCCTAGCCCAGGTATTGCTTTCCTTGAGCCAATCTGTGGTAATGTAGTGTTCAGATCCAAGAGGAGTGCTGAGTCTTAACAAATTACAGCAGAACAGTTCTTCATGAGTATGCTCTTTTCCTGTGCAAGAAGTAAGGCAATACGGATTAGTTTGATTCCCTTTCATTTTAGGATAGTTTAAGTCAAATTAACTTGCATTTGCTATAGGTGCACAGAGAATTTAACCACAATTCTCTCATACATGGTTAGATGCTAAGAAGTTGGTAATTTCACCAGGAAGCACTACTCTAGAGGGCTTAGAAAATAAGTAATCAATCAATGTAATTTTCCCTGAAAAGGGTCACTATTTTTTAATTCAAGACACAAGCCAGGGTTCTATGTGGCAGAATCCAGAAAGAGCCATAAAGCTAATAAATACAATGCTTATAGTACATGAGTACAAGATCTAATAAATGTATCTGTATAACATGCTTCCCTAAAGAGTATCTTCAAGATTGAAAGTCTGATTAGTCTTTGCTCAGTCTGACATAAAGCAGGGGTGCTTGAAACTGCTTTTTGATCTGAATAAAGGCTATGCTACAACAGTCAAGCTGTAGCAAAGGTATTTTTGGGAAGTGTCAGAAGAATGTCACCTCAAAGAAATTCCAAATTATTTTTCCACCTCTACAGCGTACAAAGTTCAAGACAAAACTTCCTTTCCAAACTTGAATCAGGTTGTAACATTTCCAAAAACACTTAATGCAGAACTAAGCAAGAAATGTCATTCACTTAGGTCATCATCAAAATGTTTCTGATTACATCCCTGACTAATTACATTACCATATACCTTTAAGTAGTGGTTTTAAAATTACAACACTTGGCTAGAAGCTGATTCCTTGTTTTTAAGCAATTCCTACAAGCTTGAACCAACAGTGCTTAATCAGATGATAAGTTTTCACATAGAGTTGCTGACTGTAGTCCCAAACCTGCAAAGTGCCACAGGAGAGAGAGGATCAGAGGGGAAGGAAAGAAAAGGAACAGGATTGCTTCTTTCTATAATTCAACTAGGAACAATTAATGCAGTTGTTTTATGTGACACCCTAAGGATATAGTGAAAGTCTATGATGTCATTTGTGTGATATTAAGAAAGGACATTGCAGATCCAAACTTAAAATAAGCCAGAAGTTTGAGATTATTGCTCCCCGTAAGTGTTTCTGCCACTGAGCGGGGCGTTCCCATAGGAGACAAGAGGAGGCAATGCCATTGCACTTCTAGGACGTCCTGATTCTGCATATCTTGTGTGCTTTTGCTGGTGAGCGTAGGAGACAAGACAAATGCTGTGCCATTATCTTTTGTTCCTTAAATAGTTAGTTTGGCTGCGATGGGCTGAAGAAGCCAACCTTCAATCCTACAAGCCTACAACAACTTTGTAGTGTCCAGTCCCCATATACAGCCCAGGAAGGAGTGAAGAGCGTGAACAGCTTTGGAGTGACAGACGCATGAGAGCAAGCCCGGATCAACAGGAATATTGTCTTTTCACAAGCTGTTAAAAAATTATACATACATACATATGTATATATGAAAACAGCTTGGGTTTTGTATGTGTATATATATACACACACACACACATATATATATATATAAAAAATATACCTACTACCCATTTTTATCTGTGTGCACTAGATACCTAGTGCATTGCTCCGTGGTAGGACTTTTTGCTCCCAACAGCAGCTATGTGCAGTCAACTCAATACTCCTTAAGTAATTGCACGTTTGTGCCCAAGAAGGTTTGGCTTTGAAAGCTGTTTAGAGCATAATAAAAAGTGAATTTTCCTGTCCAAAGCGTCTCCAGCATTATTCAGAGCTTTAATCTGACATCTTAACTAAATTTTCTGGTGTTGCCTCGCTAAAGGTTTAAACTAATGGACATAGATAAATCCTCTAAGGAAGACAATCTCTTGCCAAGACTCTTGGCAAAAGTTATGCTCAGCTTCCCCATTTTTGTTAATAGTTTTGTACTTCTATATTAAACAATCTCTAAGTGCTGCCATTTGTGTATATAAATAAAATATTCGTGTGAATATTTTGGTTTAGCATATTTGTTGTGAGATACAAAAAATTTAAAACTGAAAACAGCAGGAAAGCTAGGTGATTTTCTTTAAATTTCTGGCATTTGCTTTAGAATATTACTGAAAAGACTCTTCTAAAGTCCAGACTTTTTTGCGGCTGGGGGGCCCCCGACCCAAAGTGGAGACATTATTGCCTAGCAAGCTTTACAGGCTAGAACACAAACTCAGGAAACAAGACATGAAGACAACAAGACATAAGACTGTGAATATGCACATAAATGAGCAAAGCAAAGAACTATTACAATTTGTCTGTTCCATTTATGTTTCTGAATGGGGATTTTTTTGCTATCAGTCTTTTTGATGAAAACAAAAAGAAGCAGATTCAAGTCAACCAAAATCTGTGCACACTCTCTGAAGAGAGGAAAAAGGTAGCTGGAAAAAAACCAATAATAAATAAACCACAAAAACAATGTTTCAAAAACTGATTCTTTTTAATTAAAAAATGAAGCTTAAGGAACAATTTGAATTATTTTGCTTAGAGTGAAACAAATATTTTTTCAACTCAAAATAATTATATTTTTCTTTTCATTTTTGTCAGACTGATCAGAAATGAAAATAAAATGAATTATCAAAAGAAAATATTGATTCTTTTTCGGTTCAATCAATAGACAAAAATAAAAATGAAATCAGATATTCACACATTTCTAATATTTTTGTTGTCACTAGTGCAAGGGTAGAGTTTGGAAGTAAACAAGTAGAAAAGAGAACATCACTTTTCATGACATGAGTAGCCACATAGGTTTCCTGAGAGATATGAGCTGTAAGGAGGGATCTGAAGAAAGATAAGGTAATGGATGTTTGGGTTTTAATATGGGGCTTTTCCTGTGTTCAAAGAGCCGCATAAGGGAAAGTCTGGCATTATACAAAGGGTAAGCTGAGAAAGGGGCAGTAAAGGCTGAGAACGTTGGCGAAGGTCAGTGTCGTAACAGATTAACGGGTCAAACAGGCTGAAGCCAGGTAAGGAAGGTGGCTGCCTTTGAAGACAACAAGCTATCATTTGATATAGAAGCGCAAGTGGAACTAGCATCAGATTTGGCAAGCTCTTTCATAAAACAAAGCAAAATACTACATGCTATGGATTTAAGCTTGCTTCATTTGTTTTCCTTACCTATAGCAATTTTACTGTCAAAAAACCCCAGTGGCATTAACCTGCCCAGGTTGGTATATAAGGCGTACAGTTTCAACCGGCTTCTCAAGGTAGATCTTATTTGCCAGAGGGGAGGGGGGAAAAAAAAAAGTACTTCCAGGACTGTTTCTATGGTACTAGAAAGGCACAGTGTAATCTGTTTGTTATTTCCCATTGTCACCAAGGTCACACCTATCTGGCAAAAAGCCTAGATTAAAGGCTATTTCAGCTAGAGTATTTCAGCTGGCCAGTGTTAAACATTATTTTGTGCTTGTGTAGACAAAGATTATAGTGCTTAAAAACCATGTTCACCCGAAGAAAATGTATTTATCTTTATTAAAGTAAATTTATTTACTGATCTTTACTACAATAGCATCTAACATTATATTCAGCAGCCTTTCTCTATCATGCAGGGTTTTGCACAACCATGAGAGAAGAATGCAGTCCAGGTAATATAGCATATATTTGGATAATACATATAATACAGAATTCTATGTATATAATATACACAATCTTCATTCTGTATGAAGAGTGCACCCTCAGCACGTTTGCTGATGATACCAAACTGGGGGGAGTGGCTGATGCACCAGAGGGCTGTGCTGCTACTCAGAGGGACCTGGACAGGCTGGAGAGCTGGGCGGAGAGGAACCTCATGAAGTTCAGCAAAGGCAAGTGCAGGGTCCTGCACCCAGGAAGGAATAACCCCATGCACCAGGACAGGCTGG